TAAATCACTTTACCCAGCATTTGAGCTCATTAGAAATCCGACACACATCACAAGCAAAGATGCAGAAATTGAGCCAGTTCCATTTGTGGTGCAAAAGAGAAGCAGCTGCCTATTCAACATACAAAAAACTCACCATCACACAGGGAAAAACTTCTGCTGTGTCAAATCTCCAAAAAGAAATGCACAGGCCAGGCCCTGGCACACCTCACCTGCATATTTCACCTTGATGCTGCTGCTGTATCTCTACAACTTCCCAGCAAAGAATGGGAAAAGCAAAGGCTCTGGAACCACTCATTGTAATATTAATAACACAAGCAATGTAAGTCTTCTCCACATTGCAAAACCACCTTTGCACGTTTCCTACAGTGCTGGTACACTCGTGGTGCCAGTGGGTGCCTTGATGTGGGCAGGAGAGGGAAGGGATGCAAGTCCCACCATCAGAGTAGATGACTTGGCACCTCCTGAAAATTAGGGTTATTCAGTAGTTACAGTCTGCAGAAGGCACAACCTGGGGTTATTATGAAGATTCCAGATGACTTTGCTGACTAAACCTCAGGGGGATGTGGCAACAGCAGAGCCCTGAGCTGGAGATGCTCCTCCAGGTTAGTCTGGGGGATGTCAGTGATTGCATCTGGCTTCACTGGATGCTGAAACATCCACCTGAGATGTCTCCAGAGCCCCAAATAGCTTCTCACACCACTCATTGTAAAGATGTGTAAGCTCCCAGTGAAGGGATTTGTGTCCCACTGCACAGAGGCTGGAGCAGCAGTGAGCACCTGACAGCAGTGCTGAGCACACAGGAAGATCAGCTAATCCCAGGCTCCAATTAGCAGGATTTCTACACCTACATTCTGTCAGACCTTGCTGTGATTCAGCTCATGGCTCCCCCAAGCCATGCTGAGTGTGTTTCCTGTGGGTAAGGAGGGGAACAGGCTCTGTGCTTTGTGCAGAAATTCAGGTAATGTGGCATGAGAAAAGAGAAAATGAAACCTCAAACATGAAACCTCAGCAACTCCCCACAGTTATATTTACAGACTAGAAAACTACTATCATGATGATACTGTATTTTAGGGTTTTATGTAAATTTTAATCTATTCTGGGTCCTCAAAACATCTTGGATGTTGCAGACATAACCTGAAAATTGCAGAGCATAGGGGAAAGCTCCCAGAGATTTCAGTAAACTGGAGATCACTCCCATTTCCCTCAGTTTCTCCACTTCAAAACCAAAGGCAAATACCCCAAGTATCTCAGATTATTGCCTAAGGTCAGCATTTGACCGTGTTCCTCTTCAGCCAAGGGACAGATCCTGCCTGACACCAAGTACTTCAAACCACTCTCCTTGCCACAACTGCTGAGCAAATCAAGAGGCAAACCCTTCCCATGGTTGGCCTCAGCCACTTCCTCTTTAAAAATCAGACTCTGAAATGCTTACCTGGAAAAGCAACCCTTAGAAAAAAACCAGTTGATTTTTTAATTTTATTACAAGAAGTCTGCAAAGGCACCACTGGGTACCACATTATCCCATAAAGATGTCAGCTTTTTAGTGATTGCAGCTCTGAAGAGAAGGCAGAAACAATGGAGCTCTGCCTTATATGTACAGTGGCTCCGTGCTGGAGACAGAGACCATTTCCCCAAATGGTCAAAAAATTGAAGCAGCCTCTCTGTGGTTTTTGAAAGAGAAGTGCTTTAAAGCACACAACCCACTGTGATCCAAATGAAATAAAGCTTTCAGTGATACCTACAAGGCTTTCTGGAAGCAGCATCAGCATGTTGCAGCATTTATTTAGTTTATAAGGATATTTTCATAGAGAGTGAGCTTCCTGCCCTGACTTTGCTACACTGCACTTTGTGTTGACACAAACATTTCTGCAAGCTTTGGCTTTGGTGGTTCAGAGGCTCAGTGCACACAGGGAAGGGAGCTCAGGTGCTCTGCTCCACTCTCCCTCTATTCCTGCATACTGTGATCACTGCAGAGTGAACACAGCTTCTGCTCCATGTTCCTACTGCCAAAAAAGGAGCTGAGAGGAAACGAAGCCAAACACTCCTCCCTCCAAGATCAGCTCCCAGGCTGCTGCCTGGCAAGGTGCTGGAGCTCATCCTGGCCACAGAAGGGGCAGAGAAGGGATGTGCCCTCCACATACCTGGTCCTACAGAAGGAATGTGGCCCTGGGTACATGATGCCCAGGCTCCACATCCAGCCCTGCCTTTAGGCCCTTTGCCAAGCAGTCCTGGAGAAATAAGGAGCAGAGTGACTCTTATTCTGCTTCTCTGCCACTTTTCCACTTACTTAATGCTCCCAAATTGTAATACCTTGGGCAAGGGATAAGTGCTGGTAGATGGCAGCTCTGGCACAGAATTTCCTGCTGCAGTTGTCAAAGGCTACAAAGACTTGAAAGATGAAGAGATGAGAGCATTTCAGAACCCCACACAGCTTGGCATTAGGAAACTGCAGCTGTATTCTCCTCTGACTCTATGTGTCATTGTGATCACTGTAGAATTTTAATTCCATTAATGCCATCCACTCTATCGTGTGTGAGGCAAAAAATAGCTCCTGTGTCTGCTCATATTGGCAGGTACAAGCTGAAGCAGCCAAGGTGTCAATCTCAAGCCAAAGAAATGAGGGCAACCAGCCCCAGTGCTGGAGGAGCACCTTGTACTGCCAAAGAGAAGAGCTCTGACACAGCCAAACTGCTCATTGTCCTGGCCAGGTGGATTTTTGGGGGTGCAGCAGCCAGGCCATAAGGGGCAGGAGGAATGAGAAGTGCTGCAGCAGAAGCAGGAGGTTGAAGTCATCCTATTGCTTCCTTTGGAGCTGAGCAGTTCCTGCATCCCCCTGGAGCTGGGGAGAGCAGCAGTGCTGGTGAAACAATCTCCCATTCTGCACTGGGAGTTATGCAAGAGCCTCCCAGTCACACGGGCAGAGGGGAGCAAAGAAAGGCCATTATTCACAGCCTGACATGGATGAACCCAGTTTAACACATGCACTTGGAAAACACTGTTCTCTCTGTTCAGTAATATTATTTCACATTCCACTCATTTTGATAACCTTTTCCTTCTCCCATCTACTCTGTTGACTGCCTGGAAAGTGGAGTAATGCCTTCTCCTGAGAGCTGCCAACATGCATAACTAAGAGAATTTTCTTTCAAGATACCACTGAGCCTCATTTTGCAATAAATAATTTACAAATTCATACAATAAAAAGCTAGAGGAATTTAAAAGGGAAGCCTCTCTGCTTCACTTGACAGGGAAAGAGCACCAAGGTAGGAAATTGCTTCCCAGAATTTACTTAACACACTTAGATTGCTATATCACCAATATGCCACCTTTTACTCTGACCAGAAATAATCAGCCTTGCAGAGGGATATAGAAATAAGGAGTTTCAGTCCCTTATTTCAAACAGTAAGTCATGTCTTTGTATCCCTTTGACATGACCTCAGCTTTGGAAAAAAAAAAATCTAGGGCAAGCCCTAATTTTATCTATGAAATTATTCTAAAATCACTTTATACAGATAAAGCAGAGATGATCCCTCTGTGTTAGAAAAATCCACATGTGGTGCCACATCTTTAACAATCTGTACATGCATTCATCTGTCAAGTGCCCTGGCAAATCCAGAAGGCAACAAAGGATCAAATCTACATGGTGAATTTGCAACTAAGAGCCAAGCAAATTACAAGACCACAGAGGTATTTTGTCCTTTGATATGCAATAGCACTTGGGGGAAATTTTCTGAGCTTGTTTATGATTTACTGTCCTCATTTCCAAGAGCATCCTTGATGCTCTCTGCCACACAATGTTCAGCATGCCAGAAACACGAGATCCCACAGATGTAAAGGGAAATTTATATTTCCTATCTTCACAGGACTGAAGTAACTGAGAATAGAATGAAGCAGACCTCTTGAGAAGCAAAGCCTACATTTTGCAAGGAGACCTCAGACTAGAAAGATTTCTTACCTATAATTCACTTTCCTTTCCTGTCCCTGCAACAAAACATTTGGCTTATTTTAAGCCTCAGCTTTTACTTTTTCCTTTCTCTTTGGGTCCTTTTCTTCTTTTTTTTTTCCTTCAAAAAATAAACGTTTTCAAATGTTCTGGCTATTTTGTGCCTGTCTGACTCAAACTCAAGGAGGACAAAACTGTCCTTGCACATTGTAATGTGCTGCTTCTGATCTACATTAGTGCATCTGAGTAAATGTGTAACTCCAAAAACAGAAGCTATTTAAAACATTTTCTTCCTCTTCATTGCTTCCTTAAGTTACAGGTATTTGGCTTGGACCAGTAAAATTTAAACTTTAAGCATCCTTCCACACATCCAATTTTGAATCAAACTAAAGAGAGAAATTATTTCCAGACAGATGTGCTGAAACAGGACTGGAAGTTTAAAATTAGGCATTAGTTCAAAAGCTTCACTGAGTGGGGATCATTGTAAAAAAGCCACAAATGAGTCTGCAACCAGCCAGCAACTGAGAAATGAAAATAAAAGCTTTGTGCCATCTGTGACAAGCATGGATTCCAGGATTCTGCATCACATGGAAAGCTGTCCTGCTCTAAACCTACAACTATGAAAAACAATTCTGATAATTCTTCATTACAGCCAATGACATTGGGAAATCTCTGAAGTGCTGCTCAAAGAGCACAAGTTTGGTTCTACCTGGATCACAGAGGGAACAAAAATGTGTGGAAACTGCAAACAGCCCTCAGGGAGCCCTCACAATCCTGACTGTCACAGAACGTGGGGTGTCAGTCAAAATTAAGCTTTCATAAACTCCTTTGAGCCATATCAGCTCTATTAAACTCAGATATCACCTGCTAAAAAAACCTGACTGTACCCGTTTAGAGTTTTTATATGAATATAGGTTTGTGCACTGATCAACCTGGTTTTAATTAACCTACAGACTGACTCAAGTAAGGCACTAAGCTTCAGAGGGTTTATCCTACCAGGAAGATTGAGGAAGCAAACCTATCACATCCATTTACAAACAACCTCCACCCTCCAGCTCACCTTTTCAACATCTGCTTTTGTCACGTTGATGTCAGCATCCATTTTCTCAAAATACTGCTGTGCTCGATCAGCTTCTTTGCAATCACGTTCAAATCGCCTTTTACTCTGAAAAGAAAAACCAGAAACCTGCATTATGGGAAGCAAAAGGTACCAAAATCTACCTAAAATTCATACCTACCACTAAAACTATCTGTTGTTAACAACTGAAGGATTTTAGAGCTCTCTTGTTTACACTGGAATACATTTCCACATTAACAAACTTCAAAAAATTGAGTTACCAGAGGCACATTTTTGGTTCCATTATCCAGGCTGCTCGTATTTCAGTATTTTTCCCATTTAGCATCACTTCCAGTCTTGCAGATGAAATCATTCTATTCAACACTTAACCCCTTCATTTTTATAAATGAATGAGGGAGTTACTAAGATCAATAAATTTGCAAGGACTTTTGGTTATTGATAGCCCCTTTCTATCCTCTCCTGCACTTACAGCCTCACTTTTCATTCATCACGTGAATGACAATTCCAATGTATTTATTTTTGGGAAGCAGCACGTGCCTCAAAGGGTGTTCCTGTTCAATTTATGCACACATTATGAAGCTGTTCAACTTTCAGAGGAATATCTGAACAGGACCCTTAGGGACTCTGCAGTTTCAGCAATGCTTAGAACATTTTTCAAGCCATATCAAATGAAATGCTGCTCGTGATAGACAAAGAGTGCACAGAAGCCAAATGTTCTGTTAAAACAGACTTTTTGAGGACTGAGAGTGTATTTAAATCAGCAGAGTTTTAAAAATCCCATTTCTACTATTTTTATCCGTACACCTTTCTTTTTTCCAAATAAAACGTTTGGAACCATCTCTTTGAAAACAATACACAAATTACTTAAATGTCTCATCTGAGGAATTTGCCACTTACTGCTTCAAGTTGTTTCCAGCAAGTTTCAATGTGTTGTTGTGCCTTTCTGCCATCATGGAAGTGCTGTTTAGAAAAAAAAGAAAAGAGAAAGAAAACATTTTGAACAACAAAAGAACAAACAGTCAAGTATGCCCAAGAAAAAGCCCAAGCAGAAATCATTCTGACAGCTGTGTTCTGCAAGGCTAGTGAATTGAGCAGGTGTGTGATGACTATCTAATGTCTCAGCAGGCTGCAGATGGATATTTGCATCAATTATAGTGGTTAGTTCGACTAAGGCTAATTAATCCCTTTAGCAATTCTACCTTGTATTGTTCACTGTATGTCATAATTATTGGTTTCCAGTATCATGAGATCTGAAGCACTTTTATCTGACGAGTATTTCTTTGGTGACAGACTGAACACTAGCTCCAAATTAAAATTTCTCTCTACATGAATTTACCAAGATGCACTTGATTGGCACATTCTAACAACTGATGTTTGTCCTGATTTTCATTCAGACTCAACAAAAAAACCCCTCTTCTTCCTAGCTGCTAGCTGTGTGTGCAGGGCCAGCTGCTCCTTCCTCTTGAGAGGTTTTTGGTGCACTGGGTCCCTCCACAATCCCTCCTCTCCCATATGCTGGGCATGAGTGTGTGTTGACAGAGTGAGGTGTAAAACAAGTTTTAAATTGAGATGTCAGCTAAACAACAAGGAATTCCTCTCCTGATGTGCTTTTTGGAACAAGACCCTTAATTGCAGTTCGTTTAACCAGCAGTTCTTAGCCCTTACACAATGCTCTTTATCAAAGAATCTAATCTAATCTGTATTAGAGTCTGTCCCACTGTGGAACCACAGAATGCTTTGGGTGGGAAGGGACACCCCAAAACCACTTTGCTCCAACCCCCTGCCATGGGCAGGGACACCTTCCACTACCCCAGGGTGCTCCAAGCCCTGTCCAACCTGGCCTTGGACACTTCCAGGGATGGAGCAGCCACAGCTTCTCTGGGCAAGCTGCTCCTCCATATGCCTGGCCTTGTCTCAAGATAAACAATTCATTCCTGATCATTGTATGAGTCAATGACCCAGCTCTGGACAGGAATGTGAATGCAGACCCAGCTGACTGCTACAACAGGTTACTCCCCTCCAGAAACCACCCTGTAAAATAAATAATGAAGCAAACTGAAACAGGAAGTGAGAGGCCTTTCATTTGTATTATTTACTGGTAATTTGTTTTACTCAAATAGTAAACTTAAAAAATAAAGGTCAGATATTGCCAGATAATCCCACTAGAATTCATGTGCTCTCACACCCAAGTGCAATCAGATTTTAGATAAATCTCAAGGAATGCGATACCTATGGCTTGTTGGGTGAAAAAAAGCTTACACTCCAGATCATTAACCTGCTACAAAATGCCACAGTTAGAAAATATGCCTGTAAGCACTTCACAATTGGCAGCTCCTTGGTTTCCTGCATCTTCCACTGCAGCAACTGGTATTTTCCTGTGTCAGGGGAGTGAGGGACATTTCAGAACTGCCATTCTGGCTCCATCAAACATGACAGCAAAAGTCCCAAAACTGCAATTCTCTATCATGCCATGTCCAATAGGCTCATTTAACCTTAAAAATCACAGTCATGTTCAACAAGTCTGCAAGAACAAAACAACACCGGGGTCGGTAACAGCTCTGGATGCTCTTACCTGCAGTCCCAAACACTGTTAAGGAAGGATGCTCAGCTAGAACTGAGCACAGGGGCATTCTACAGCTTTATGTGTGTAGATGGTGCTTATCTCCACAGGAAAATTGTTAAAGCAGACAGGAGAGGCCCAGGGTGAGAAATGTTTTCCATCCTGGCACGGGCTCAGCTCTGGCTCTGCTCCTGCCCTCCGAGGAGCGAGCGCGTGTGGCCACTGGGCCATGCAAGGGGGAGCAGTGACAGCCTGGCACTGCTGGGACAGCACAGACCTTCTCCAAACCCTGCCTCACCACACTGTGACACTAAAAAACCCCTGACATCACCGTAAAAGTGCTGGGTGGCAGGGAAAGGCTCCAAGTTGATTTCGGTTCCTTTTGTAGATCCCCGTGTCCTTTCAACTCGGCGTGTGACAGATGCTGCCTCTTCCCTGCCAGGGGCTCCCTCGTTTCAGGCTTTTGTAATTCGAGTTTAGGAAAACAGTCCCAAGGAGCAACAAAACAGTCCCAAGGAACAACTGTAATTTAACACTACATTTTTCAACATTTTGTTAATGAGCATGAAACTCATGGAAGCCTTGACAGTGAAGCAGGAAGTAAAAGGACTCTGATGTGTTCGTGTTGCCTTCCCTAATTCCAGCCCCCATCTGTGTCCTCCCCACTTGGCTGGGGTAGGAAGGGACCTGATTTGGGAGCAGCTGGCCTGAGTGAAACCCAATACTGTCAATGACCCACAAACCTCAGGAAAACCAGGTTCATTTAACAGAAAACAATTGCAGAGAGGAGCTGAAGGATGAACTTGGAAACAAAAGCCTATCAGATAACAGGGCTGCCCTCAGCGTGTATGTTTAAACCTTTGGAGTTGAATAATGTGATTTTAACAAGCCATCCCTGTTACTCCCAAACTTGCCTTCTCTGTAAAACAAACTGCACAGGATTCTGGAAGTACATACAAGAAACACTGAGCCTGAGCAGTGAGACTGCATCGAGTTCACATTTTGACATTTTATTTTTTCTTTTAGAAACTCTTCTGCACAAATGGAACACTGAGATGTAAAATGGGCAGTGCTGAAGATTATTAAGTAGTTAAATATTAAATAGTGATAAATACAGGTGCATCACATCTTGCAGAGTCCAGTGAAATACTGCCTTTTTTAGTTCAACCAATTCCTAAATATACTTATAACCCCTAATTCTTGCTGTGCTATCCCATATATAACCTTGTCGTGAGCTGAGGCACTTCTGCTTTTGCAAATCTTTTGCCCTCAAATAGTAATTTCTGCCTTGCAAAAATTCATTTTTATATACAGCAACTAAGTGGGACCTTCCAGCTATCTACATTTCTTCACTGGTCCAATTTTATGGGTAAGTAAAATCAAGGCACTATGGTCAAGTGATCTGCTTAAAGCCATACAGGAAGCCTCCAGTTCCCTCAAACCATGCACTATCTTCAACTTCTGCAAACTCATTTCCTTTACAATCCTCTTAAACAGCAAATGTCCTTTACTTTCACCTCCTCCCCCTCCAAAACCCCAGCAAAAATAACTCTAAGCTCAACTATTCCTTGATAAGGTTTCAAGATACAAGATCTAATTTAAGTAAATTTCTTTGAACAAGTTAAATAATTGGTTATTCTACACCTGAACATTTAGCAAATGGAAACATGACAAGCTATTTAGTAAAATCTGTGGAAAACTACCACTCTTAGTCACATGCAGTACACAATGATGAATTTAGAGTAAGTGATACAATATTGCTTCCCCCTCTGCAAATTGCCCAAACTAATTCCCCCAATCAGGCTCTTTAAAAACACCAGAATATGAGCAAGATATTCAATTAATAAATCACACCTCAAGTGTGTCAGTGACACATTAGCAGCAGTGTTGGGGGCTCACATGCCATGATTTCCTCCAGACTTTTCACCCATATCCACAGAATTCTAAACACACATTAGAAACACAGTAAAGTGAAAAGTTTGGGGTTATCAGTGTTCACTAAGTCAACCTCCCTAAATCACCTTGAAGTCTACACTTCACAGTCTTTGGCTGGCAAACACTGTGCCAACTTTGAGATTTCCCTGAACTATATTTTATTGAAATATTAAACCAAGTGAATGGCATAAAACAGAGCAGCATTGCCCAAACTCAAAGCATACATGACCACAACTGTCCTTTTTCCCTTTATTAAAGCCCATTGTGTCCCAGGGTGCTGTGAACAATCCACAATGGCCATGTTTTGACTGGGACAACTCCATCCACTCCAGCTCACAAGATGAACACAATAATGCAGGTTTAATGTGATCTCATGAGAGTTCACAGAATCAGTTGGGAAAAGATCTCCAAGATCAAGTTCAACTCGTGACCAGCCACCACCACTTCAAGCAGACCTGAGTGCCATGTGCAGCCTTTCCTTAAACACTTCCAAGGGTGCTGACTCCACCACCTCCCTGGGCAGCTCAATCCAACCCTCTCCAGGAAGAAATTCTCGCTGGAATTCCAAAATTCAGTTGTTAAGAACTGAGATACTTTTATCAGACTGTTAAGCCACTCATGTGAGGACTGTGCATTAACTCAAGTTTTTAAAAGCTTTTGTTATATTCAAAAAGCTCGCAGCTCAAGGAACCAGCTTTCCCCTTTGCAAATCCAGCCATCAGGATTGGTGTGCTGTTCTCATTAGGATGCTGCCTGTGTCTGGAACAGCTGGGGAGCAATCCTGGCTGCTGTGCAATCAAAGACAAACCTCTCATTGACTTTTGTTGGGCTCAGATTTCACCCGTGTTGATCAAAACCCCGGGAGCAGCGAGCGAGGGACCCACAATGCAGAGCCTGTTCCTGCCAACACTGCCACAATTAGGAGCAGCAGGATATTTTTGCAAAACTTCCTTGGTATGCACGAGGGTTTACACAGCCCCAGAGCTCACCCAGCAGACAACAACAGCTTGTTAGAAGATGCATCTTATCTTTTTTTTTTTTTCCTGACCTTTTGAGAGGAGCGGGAGAAAAGATGTTGCTAAAAGCGTCTAATGAAGGACAACACATTCCAATGGTTTTGCTGAGGAGTTCCTGGGAAGTTTTAAATGAAAGAATTGCCTGAAACATGTAGATTACCAGCAGGACAACAGGGCTGCTTGGGCTCTGTCTAAATTGATCCTGTGAAACCTTCTGAAAAAAAGGCTGTAATAAGACAATCTTGTTTTTATTAAACAAACAGGAGTTGATTACAAGTCTTAAACTTAAGACTTGTACATCTACAGTATGTTTGTATTAGAAATAATAACAAAAACAGTCTTAATTTATAAGCATAGCATATGGTTCATTTGACAACATCTTCTTCAAGAACTTTCAAAAAATATATCTAAGGCAAGGGTGCTTCATTCTCTTTTCTATTTACATATGA